TGCGGACCCCACGCCACCCTGTCCTGGGAGCAGCAGAGGACTGGGGGATTTTCTGCAGATCTAAGGCTCTGTGCTTCCCAAGCAGGAAGAAGTGGTTGGGGTGGGGGTGGGGAGCAGGAGCCAGCAGCAGTGTGTGTGTGGGGGGGTGGACCTGGCAGTGTCTGGGGAGGAGTGGCAGGCGGGGCGCAGGGGTTCCGCCGGGCAGTGTGTCCTGCCCCAGGAGGCCTGGCCTTCAGGCGGCTGTGTGTGTTCTTTGTCAAGGCGGTGGTGAGGGACAAGGGATGTACTTTATGTACCCTGCATTACCTGCTTCTGAGTGTGAAAGGCCCAGTGCAGAAGCCTTGTCACCGCGTGAGAACCTGGTGGCCCTGCTGGTCCTTCCTGTCCCTCACAGCTCCCCAGTGGCGACCGACTGCAGCTGGGAAGCCTATGACAGATTGACATTTGGCAGCTCAGCGTGCTGGGAAGGGAGCAAGGCCTCAGATCCCAGATGGACTTGGTCGCAGCCCACAGCCCTGACCCAGTTGCTAGGGCAGCACTGGGTGAGAAAGGGTCCCTCCCGTACTCTGCCTTGAGGCTGTGGTTCTCTGGCCCCTCTTGCCTTGCTGACCTCGTCCGAGCTGGGGGATTTAACCTACCTGGGGCCCATGATCCCTTGATCCCAGAATCCATTGCCCAGGCCAGGGACACACAGAGCCCTGGACCGGGCACCAGGGATGTCCCAACAGGCTGAATCCAAACCCCTCCTCTTCTCATCTCAGGTAAGCTGAGCCGTGGCATCGGCCTCAACCCCTGCCGGGTCTATCAGCTCCACCCCGGCGAGCCCACAACTTACCATTCTCACCCTCAGCCAGCATCTGCTCCATGTGACACCCTCAGCCAGTCCCCGGCCAGCTCCCCTGTTCCCAGCTCACCCAGGCACCCCTTTCCCAGATTGAATGCATGGCCTGGCTTCCTCATTACCTGGCCCACCTCCCCTCCACCCGCGGGCCTCCAGCCTCCAACCAGGTCCCCAAACACAGCCGGAGCCCCGACCCCAGTGCCTCGGCCCTGTATCCCTCACCTAGACAGTGTCCAGGTGTCCCCACACTGGCCCCTGGTGTCCCTAATCCCCAGCACTGCCACTCTCTCTTCTGCCGCCAGCTCCTCCTGCTGTTTTCTCCAAAGCCCACTCCAGCCAGCACCTCGGGGGCTTCCGTCTCGCAGCCACTCATCGCGGAAACTGAGGGTCAGTCCTCTGGTTTCATTGGTTCAGTCAGCTTCCCAGGCTTGAACCTCACAGCCAGAAAACATGAAATTGGAGCCTGCCACAGACAGGAGTTTAGAAAAACCCAGTTCCCTTTGAAGATGGTTCAGTTGCCCCGATGCTCTGGGAGAGAGTGGACACAGAGAACGGGGCAGCTGGGGTCTCAGCCGGTCAGCGTCATAATGACGCTCATCCTGTTCTGGCTGCAGGACCTGCTCCCAACTCCCCAGGGGTCTCAGTGGCCCCTGAGGGCAGAGACTTGGGGGAATGCCCATCCCCCACCTGAGCAAAATCACTTCCATGGGGCTTGAGGTCCCTTCCAAATGAAGCCCTCCTTCCCAAGTCACCCACCAGAGTGCGGACCCGGTGGCTTTCAGCAGGTGGGAGTCTTTTGGGCCTTGCTCTCCTGGCCTGACTGCAGGCGTGGGTTGAGAGGGGCAGCTGGGCCCAAAGCTCAAGGCAGTGTGTTGGGTGCCTGAGCCTCTAGCAGTGCCGGGAAATACTGTCCCACCATGACAGGCGTCCCTTGAGGGGCACTAGGTGAGAAAAAAGGGTGGGAGGTCTTATTAGGTTGGGGAGTCCATCGGGGGGTGGAGGGTGTCCCAGGCAGCGGGCACCTGGTGGAGGCTCCAGGCCAGGAGGAGATGGTGGGTTTGGGGCTTGTGCTTTGAGCTGAGTGCTGTCACAGAAGAAAGAGCAGGCACCCCCAGGAGAGGCAGGATGCCGCATGGCGCTCACTTGTGAGAAACGGGAAGCTGGGCCTCTTGCAGTGTCGCTCTGGGCTTGGCCTTGACCAGAAGTCAGAGGCTGTGGATCTGGGCTGGCTCCTCCTGGCGGGGAGTGGGGTGATGCTGCAGGCCAGCTCTGCGCCTCGGCGCCATGGCATTTCCTCCACGGGG